CAAAAGTTCTTTTCTAGACACACGATGATACTCATACTGCTCAATTCGAAAGCATTGAAATCACTTGGCACTCAATTGAAATAGAATAATGCACGAGGTAATAAATATATATTAAAAGATTATTGATGCTGAGTATACTACAAAGTCTACTGTTTTAAAGTTAGAATACATACTGGATTATGCTCGATATTCATAAGGAGTCACTATGAATTTGTCTTCAACGTGAGGTCTTTGATTTTGAATTTTCAGAAAATTGTAGTAAGCTTCCCATTTCTAGCTCTCTCAGTTTTTCCCTGAAGCTCTATGACAAATTAAAAAGATTACTTCAATGGACTGACATATCTCATTTAAAAACTCTTACGATTGTATGTGCACAAGTCAGTTGTAGGTTATCTTTATCATTTGGTTTCAGTTTCACTTGCAAATGAATAGTATGGGTTTCAGCTAATTCTATCAAATAGGAAGGTAGAAAACATTTATTAAAGCTGTTTCTGATTGAAATTTATGTTTCTCGGATTCTCACCGTGTGTCCGTAGGGAAAATTTTCAATCATGCTATCGGTCTTAGTTTTTTTCAAGATGCATTGATTCTTCCAAATTAATCGACTCAATCGAGTATTTTTCTTCAAAACTTAACTTTTTCCTTAAAAAATAAGACATGAAAAAGAGACGCTATGTGATGCCAGTCATTCATTGAACAGTTTATGGGCAATCAATCAAAATATTAGAAAGACTAATACTGCAAATAAAAAAAATTTACATTCTTCATGTCAACTGTTTGTTGACACCACCGCTGGTGGTGTTTGCAACTTCCAGTTTCAGCTATAAATGATTGCAGATAATATTACCCTATCTAAAATCGAATTATTTATTACGATGATTTCGAATTAATTGAGAAGAAAGTAGTTTCCGAATCTATTTTACTAATAAAAAATTTTGCAATGCCGTTTATAATAAAAATTTATTTCATAGTTCGAGCCGATTGGACTCTGTGGCTAGAACAGACGGTTCAGATGTATCAATATTAGAAGAATGAAACGTAATCAATTTAATTCTGTCCACTATAACACAGTCAAAAACATATTCATCCATTCTGACACAATACATCATAATATCGCACTTTAACAAGAAAAGAATACCAGTATAACGTACATTATGGAATGTTTTTGAAATACTTTTCATCTCTTATTCAAAATCTGTATCACATAATAGCAGATAACTCGATTCTGGCTGTTCATAAACATCATTAATTTCTATTTGAGAACTGTTTATTAAATATATTATCCTGATCAAATAATAAAACGAACTGAAATCCTTTATAGGTTTTCGAGGTTCATAGACTGCGCATACAACTATCTACGCCTAGTGACTCGAGAACAACAAAAAAAATACAACCAACTAACTCACTCCTAGCCTATCGAACGATTCGAAGAACAGTGCACCGAAACGTCGTACGAAGAGACATTTACCAGCCGATCACTTTTGTCCACTATGATTAATATCAATTTCCATCTCAACACTTTTTAATCACAACCTAAACAAAAAACTAAATATACAATTGAAATTCATACTGCTTCAAACAAATTTCACCTTCAACTAAGACTAAATGTAAAAAACACACTCAAGAATGACTTCAGAAGCACTCACATACGAACTTTTATCCCATTCATCATGAATTCACATATGACACTCGAACATGCTTTCCATAGAAAGCACCAATGGGTTGCCATTTAGCTCATTCAAACAAAAAAGAAATAAATAGAATATAGAGTTATATCAAACGAACTCATCCATTGATTGTATTTAACTTAGTTCGAGCTTTTCATTTTATTTATTTAATCAATTTATCAAAATGATGACCATGGCACATTTACATTATATTATTGGTCAAAAATTAAATGATTAATTACTTATTCTTCAATTTTTCAATATTTTAAAATTTATTAATTTTTTACTACTCACGTTAACTTTGTCTGGCACATAAGTCCACCAATGGACTTATGATGACACTGCACTTTTACGAATTGAAATTTTTCACGAAAATAGTTCCTCCTAGATAGTTGCTGAGAGTAACGGATTTATTCAGTCTTAACTAACTGCAACGAGCTATCGTAATTTAATGGCACTTTTGCATAAAACTCATTTTTCATAGAAGAAGAAAATTCAATTTCAAAAAGTATCTATTTTAAGTCAAAACAAAATAATCATGCTTTCGACGGAAATATGTCATCAATATCGTTTCCTCATTTTCAGGTTTTATTGTTTTCTTCAGAATATTGAAATTCTTTTTGTGTTTTTTAGGATATTGATGAATAAACAATACAATCAACAATTTTTTCAAATATTTTCTTCTTTTATTGAGAATATTTGTGTCTTTCTATTTCATATGATTCATGTATTTTTTTTTTACTTTCATTATATTTGATAGTCGTACTATATGATTTTTTGTGAATTGTCAAGGATTAAATAAAACATAAAAATCTCACAATCAAACAGAGCTAACATATGGTTTTATTTTGTCAAAAGTTCAGCACATTAAGAAAATATTTTGTGAGTAGATAAAAATGATGAACAGAATTAATATATAATTCAACTTAAACAACTACGATAGTTTAGTGTCATCTGTCGAATGAGACTCATTTTTTTCGAAAAATAAATACATAGTTTGAAAGAGCATCGGTTCTTATTAATTTCTATCATAAAATTATTTCGGATAGAAATATTTTCTTTTTTAATAGTGCATTTCAACATTGACTGGTGTTTCTTGCTATGCTTTATATCACCAGCAAGCGTACTAACAATGTATATCATCAGTCATTGTGCTTTTATTATTTTGCTACTACTCTTTTTCATCTTGATATAATGGCATCAAATCGAAAACGAAAACGTGTTCGAGCTGTTAATAATCATGAATTTGAAACATTTATTCGAACCCATCTAGCCGATGATCTTGCGAATGTAATTATTTTAACAATTGGAATTCGATCGTATACCGGATTTTTAGAATTTCATGATTTTAATAATGTTTTACTTGATGTTTACGATTCAATGAATGAAAAAGATAAATTAAATTTATTTCGATATCATGATGCATCATCATCATCTTCATCAACACATCAAGTTAAACCTGCTATTCTACGAGAGTTAAAGATCTTTCAAGATGCATGTCGGAAACAAATAAACAACGATAACAATGAGTTTATTTCAGGTTCAAACTTATTTAACGAAAATTGATGAAAAATTTTTATTTTCAATTATTTGTAGAAAATAGTAGTTCTACTCAAAATGAAAATGATACAAAAAAACTTAAAAAATCAAACACTTCTCAATCGATTATATTTCGTTCACGTTCGAATGATATGGAAGAAAATACAAAAATAAAATATAGAGAAGTATATTATTTGTTTTAGAGTTTCGTATCTTTTATTTCTAATCTTTAATAGAAACCTATTAATAAAAATAATGAAGCAACAGATTGGTCTTTTGACAATGAAGAAGCATCAGATTATGATTTAAAATCTCATGATTCATCAATTCCACAAGATTTGATTGTAAAAGAAGCAACACATATATATGTCACGACACAAAAGATAAATCATTTTTTCGAGAAAAATATGCAAATAAAGCCTCAAGGTAAAATTACCAGTGATTTGTTAAATATTTGGAATTGTTGTATCTTCTTTTCTTTTTATAGAGATTCAAAAATTTATTTTCTTATTACAACATAGTTTAGCTTGGAACATGGAGAATCTCTACGAGTTTGCAATGAAAACCAGAACAAACAATACATTGTATAATCAGTTTCTTAAAGATTTTCGAGATGATTGTTCGAAAAACGATATTGATTTCAAAGAAAAAAATCAATGGCTTATTAGTTATATAAAAAAAATCAACTATGTAAGTTTTCATATCATTCAATCTCTATATTTGTCTCATACATTTTTCTCTTATTACAGAAACCAAGTGGATACAGTCATTAATTCAAATATGAATATGTTCGACAACAAAACTACAATAACCTTCTTTTTTTTTCGTTCTGTATGTATACTCAAATAAGTCAGAAAAATTTATGTTGGATCTCTATATGAAGCATCTTATATAAAAGTAGAATGAAGTGTATTTATCGGTGATAAATTTTTCTAGATTTCTTCGATTTTCGTTTTTATATGCAGCATTAAGAATAATAAAACTTAACGAAACATTCTTCATAATTATATTTCGAAAGAATTTCTTATATACAATTATATTATAAAAGGTTATACTAAAAGTAGTTATATGAAGCGGCAGTCATATCGATAAAATGATCGAATGCGTCATTCACTATAATAAAAAGAGAAGCAATGATATTATGGTTAGAACAATGTTCTTCTTGGATGCAGTGATGTATATGTATATAAATACCTAAACATTCGTTTTCAGATAGAAATAAATAAGACCTAAGTTAAGTTCTTTGTTTGGAAAGGAAAAACTGGTTTACTTGTATTGTTTCTGCTTTTCGTTTTTTTTCTTTTGTTTAAATAAATATGCCATTACATATTTTTATTTGAATTGGAAAGATACAACCATTCCAACTTGTCCAGGACGGCACTATCCATCGGATGCATATTATCATGGTCATGGAGTTAGTTTTGTATTCTATTCTGAAACACTACTAAAGTTTATTTATCGATCTGTCCATTGATGACTGAATCACGTTTTTAACATAGTTATGTTTTCATCAACGTTGATTTCTTCAGAAAGTTTCTACAGTCTTCCACAATGAATAACTAGATAATATTTGTGAAAAAAAAATCAAGAAAAAAGCCTCACATTACATTCTAATGGTGTAAAAATTATATTGTGAAAGTATGAGTTTTCGCATATTTCTGACTTTGCTAAGAAAAAAGGTGAGTCGTTACATGGAGAGATTATTATGTTTATTTCGATCAAGCTATGATGAAAACCAACAATTGATTGAATATGTTCTAATTATTATCAAAGGTTACTTTTGATTTATCTCATTAGTGTAGAATCTTTACTTTTATATAGATTATTCATTTGAAAATTTTTCTCTTTTTAGAACAAACACATCAAATTTGGCATATTTATTTACCTGATTTTGAACTAGATCAAATTAATGCTTATCGTGTTGATAGTTCATTTAATCCACAAAATAGTGATCGTTTTAATGTAAGTAAACTCGTAAGTAATCCATATGCACCAGCTAATAGTACGACATTAAAATGGCCTGATTGATTATTTGGCTATAATATTGATGATTCATTACCAGATACTGATTCAATACTCAATACTGAAGATAGTGCACCATATATATCAAAATCTGTTATTATTCATTAAAATAGGTTTAATGGGTATGATCATATTCCACCAAATATTTCTTTACATCAAACAAACATTTATGAATTAGATGTAAAAAGTTTTAGAAAAATTCTATCGAGATATTCCAGAGGCAATACGTGAAACATACTCTGCAATAGCACATTCAGAAAAACAATAGCTTATTTTAAAAAAGTTGAAATAATAGCTGTTGAATTATTACCTGTACAGCATCTTGTTACAGATCGTCATATTTAGCTTCGAGATCTAACTAATTATTGGGCTTATCATACGATTGGATTTTTTGATCCAAATATTCGATATTCATCAAGAGGAACGCATGATGAACAAGTTCTTGAATTTAAACGAATTGATTGGTTAGATAATGATTTCACTTATCATAACATTATCTAAAAACATGTTGTGGGCTCGGCTTCTTTTGATTTGTGAAAAGAGTAGGTCATTACCTATTTCTATTCTCGAGATACTTGTCTTAAACGTATCGCTAGTTGATTCTGGCACCGTCAATAGTTGAACTAATATCTATATTCGAACTTTTCTCATATGATTTAGGGGATTCGTGAAGAGTTGAATGAATCATATTCAAGGTTCATGTGAGTTATTGTGCGCACAAATCAGATGACGTCAGTGAGACCATGAAACTTGCACTAATCCTATTCGATAAAATAAACTCTATTCACTAAGTCAGTTAGGATTGGAAGAGATTATTGAACTCTGTCCCTTTATTGTCGATAGATTGTACAATAATCTATTTAAAATGTAACTTTTTCAAAGCACAATTGTTAAATGATGAGTATTGAAATCATATTAAGAAAACTTTCATTGAATAAAATTAGAACGAATTTTATTTACGATAAAAAAGAAAAAGACGATAAATACACTGGAATATGTCTATAAATATAATTTGAAAAAAAAAGATAAAAACAAATGATATGATGAAATAATTATTTGATAAAAATAAATATTTAATCAGATGTTGAAGATGATGATTGACCTTTTGATAACCATTGATTACCTTGATTTATTGTTCCAATAACTGAACTAAATAGAGAATTCTTTGCTTGTCCAAGTACTTTAGTTGCTGCTCGAGATTTTTCACCCATAAACTGAGATGTATCTTCAAATGTACCTTTTCATTTTCTACCAGCTTCAGAATCATCAAGAACACTGCAAAACAATTTTGTTTTATTTTTAAGAAAACCAAATTCATTAAATACATACTGAGCAACACGTAATTTAACATCATTTACACTAAGTTGTCCTGCTTGAGGATGTCCAAAAAAATAAATTTGTTTTTATTTCTATATATATAGATAGATTAAACATAAAACCGTGGAGGAATTTGATCAATATATGGATAAGGCCCTTTTGATTGCCATAAACGAAATGTATTTGTTGATTGAAATGATTTAACAAATAATGGATTAAAACCATTAATTGCTTCATCATCTTTTATTTTAACAAATAAAAAAAATAAAGGAACAGAATTAAAATCAAACTAACTTACTTGGAATTCGAGTTACACATAATCATAATAAAAAATATAATTTAAATAATCGACGAATTTCTTCTTCACTTTGAACATCTGATTTTTTTTTTCATAAAAAAGAAACCAGTAAACTTAAAGTATTTGAGAAAGAAAAACAGAAAACAAACTTGATTGTGAATCTTCAAATAATTGAATAAATCTTAAATCAGCTGTTGTTAATTGAAGTTGTTGTTTTAATAATGGTGATTGAATTATAAAATCATCATCATAATCAGTTAATATAAAATCAATATTATTTTGTTGACGAAATAAACGATTACTTGCACCAATTAAATATGAATTTGTATTTGAATTATTAATTATATCAAGAGAATGTATTGATATATATATGGATGAAGAAGATTATTCTAAAAAGAATTTTTTTTTCTTATTTAATTAAATTTAAAAAAAAAATGAAAACTTTTTTAAATAAATCATATGACAATTCATATTGATCAATTAAATGAAAAATTTCACTATTATTTATGGTTATTGATGTTGATGTTGATGTTGTTGAAGTTAAATGATTAAGGGTATCTGATAATTTATTTGTTATTGATGTAGCTCGTTTTAATAATTTATTTTTAATATCTTCTTTATTTGTTTGTTCAAATTGATTTGATATTTTTTGATGATTTATCATCATCAATATCATTATCATCACCACCAACTATTTTTAATGTTTTTAATTTTATATTATCAAAATCAATTTGTTTATTATCATTTCTTGAGAAAACAATACCTTCGCTTTCATTTAAATTTATTTCATTTTCAATATCACTTTTTTCATCAATTAATGTACATTCATTTAAACCAGTTTCTATTAAATCTATTTAGAAAAAAAATACATATGTAAAATCTATTTCAAAATCAATATAGAGAAAAATCAAATTGATCTAACAATAAAACTCTTATTACTGATTAATCGAATATAAATTAACATAATGTCTAGTTAGACTATTATTTTCAACTTAATTCAATTGTTGGAAAAAAGCTCGACTTACTTGCAATTAAAGAGACAAGATTCATTATTGTTTGAACGAAATGTTGAATAGGTGATAACATAAATAAAACCTATATAATAAATGAATATAATTAAATGAAATCTTTATTTTTTTTGTAATAAAATAAGTTTAAAAAGAATAAGTGTTTTACGTCGATAACGATAAACAAGGTCACGAGCAAAATAATATTTTAAATTGAATTTAGGAGGATTTTTATTTAATTTATCAAAAAATTCTTCAAACATTTTTCTTTCATTAAAATTTTTTTCTTCAAAATATTTTTCAGTTAACAATTTAAGTTCTTCACTTACATTTCCATAAGCAGGCTAAAACAAGTTTTTTTTTTCTTTTAATAAATAAAAAACAAAATTATCTTTTTTTCTGTTACTTCACGTAAAATAAGACAATCACTTTTTTGAATTGAATTTCGTGTATATTAGCTTCTTTCTTCGTAACAGTTTAAATAAAACAAAAAAGAAAATACTTGAAAGAAAAGAACAAAAAAAAGAATACATTAGCATCAATTTGTCTATATGAAGCAATACCAAATAATGTTTTTTTTTATTGTGGTCTTGATGATCAATAGATGGAAGATGAAAATAAATTAAATCATGTTGTCTCTGATGTACACCATCTGGTAATGCTAAAATTCCTATATTTGACCAATATTCATCAATTGGTTCATTTAATAATGGATAACTATATTCGATCTAAACATTTTTTTACTTTTATTTTAAATAAATATTAATTAACATCATACCTGATGACCCTTTTTTATGATGAAATTCAATTATAATTAAATGAACAACTAGACTGTTTTCACATGAATTTATTTCTTCTTTAAGAGAGGGTCCGCCAGAATACCGACCATCGTGGCGGCGGAAAAGATTTAGATTTTGACTTTGATCATCTCATTCGAAAGCTCATAAAAATTTACTAAGGAAACTAAAATATCAACTCACTTTGATTTATCTATAAGAAGATTGCAGGTATCCCATTTTTTTCGACTTCTCGGATCATATGCTAAAAATCTTTTTTTTTAATCCTGATCGTATTTTGCGAATTTCTTCTCCATCTTTGACGGTTTGAGGCGCGAAACATCGCAAACGATAGAATATGAAATTCTCTACAAAATAGTCTATTTCTATTATTTTTTGAATGCAATTGTTTTTGAGAAAGGAATCAAGTTTGAAAAAAAACAAGTTACAATTCCAGTCATCAAGCTTCAGTGCCATGGGTGAATGTTCTATCAAAGTAAGAGATCCCAGGCTGAATTTCTGATATGTTGTAGCCCTATTCACGACGCATCTTTTGGTATATTCCCCATTGAAAAATTTCATCCGGAGGTTATAAAATTTTTCGTCACAAAAGTTCGAATATAGCTTTATTTTACTCATCTAACATTATACTATTGAATTATTTCGTGAATACGTCGAGAACGTATTTATTTGAATAGTTTGAAGTTTTATAATCGAAAAGACAATATGAAAACTGATGATCAGTGGTAAATTCGACGGATAATTGAATTGATCACTGTTGAGCACTTCTCGATATATAATTGAACAAATCGTAGTAACAGATTTTATTGGATGGTGTTGTGCGTCATATAAATCACAGTAGTGCAATGCTAACTCAGTACTTCTGTGTCATATGTATGCAGTATATCGCAGTTTTTTTATTTTCTTGTGTCATTGTACATGTGTATTTTACAAAATAGGCAGACTCCGTGTGTTCTTTGAGAAATTATCCGGAATATTTAATGTTTTTGTTATACTTTACATTCTTTGTAATACTTTTCTTCATCTTAGGCTTTGTTCGTAGTCTATTATATAATTTATATCTATTGTTAATTTAGCAGTAACATTGATGGATGATTAGGAAAAAGTTCTGAATATTATGAAAGTCAAGACTATGAAAAAGAAGAAAATTTATGATCAAAATCAGTAACAAGAAAATGAGAAGGAAACATAAAATTTGTCGACAGAACAGGTGAAAATAATGTAAAAATAATATGAAGTCAGAACGGATATATTTTGAGATTTGATTTATGCATTTATTACTCTATCTCAGGGTATTGAGGAGAATCATGTGGTATCATAAGAAGAATGAATGATAAAAAAACGATAGAAACTACAAGTACTAATACTAAAATGTGAAGAAAGAACAAAAGAAAAAACACACACTTTTGAAAATATCCATTCTTTCTTTTTTTCTTCACACATATTTTAGTGTTAGTATGTGTATGTTTGTATTCTTGATCATTCGTTTTTTCTGATGATGTCACGTAATGTTTGTTGAGAATTTGAGATAGAGTAATGAGTGCATAAATACAATGTGAAAGTATTTTGTTTTAGTTTAGTACTAATTAGCAGAGAACAGTTGAAAAATACATGAATGTTCATTCGATATTAACAAAAACCGTTTTTGAATTTTCTACGAGTTCGCGACTAAATAGTCGCATAGAAACAAAACAGAAAAGAAGGGAGTACAAAGTTGAATTATTCTATATACTTTCGACATAATTAGGTTACATCCCCAAGGACTCTTTTTCCCTCTTGTTGTATTATAAATATAGGTATCAATAGTCATAAAAGCACACCTACTCTACAGTTTCAGTTAATTTCTAACTTGATTCAAAATTACTCTTACTTTATACACATTTTCAAATGGCTGAAAGCAATACTCAATGTTTTTTTGGCTCATATGTTCCTGATGTGAGTTTTAGTGTGTTCTATATATACGCTCACATCTTATTTGAATATAGGTTCAGTGTCATGGTTCATATATATGCTTTACTGATCTTGTCAAATCTAACAAACGATATCCAAATTTTAGTGTTTCATCAGACTTGAAACACTTTATTCTCCTCATCGGTCATTTTGCTGTTCCTTCTATCAATCTACATCATCTGAATATTTGTGCATCGCATTACCGGCATCTAATCACTGCGCGTCGGTATGACAAGTATGAATTATGTAAACCTCTGTTCGGTAAATCAAAGGCATCTTTCAGACGCGAACAGTTGCGTTCCATTAATAAAGTGCAGCCTGTCTCTATATGGCTTTGCCGTCAGCTGTCTGTTTAGAATCAATGGGGTCTGTGATACATGTCGTACAATGATTGCCAGAGATTTCGTAACTGATGAAACCACGGAAAAAGCACATAATATGTTTCAGCGACTTTACAACGAGCAAGATGATATTGTTCGCACTCCTTCAACTCCTACGAAATCATCTATCGATGATGATGATGATGAATACGATGGGACATTCGATGTATACTCACCATCCCTACAGCGAAGTGCATTGGCAGATTTTCGACAGATGCTACGAGACCAAGGTTTCGATGGTAGAGTCCAATCGTCATTATCGTATTCAAGTGCCTCTTTGAAGTATCAGCGAGATTATCGAACGCGAACAAAAAAGATATTTTTACACTTGGCAAAGCTTCTGGTATCCGATGATTATGAAGAACTTTGGCAGGGTATTGTAGACGACGAATATAAAAATAATCACTTATCAAAGAACAAGTATATATGATTGTTTTGTTGTTTGAGCAGTATATGAAATTTTCTTTTTCTTGTGCTGTAGAAAATTTGACATAGCCATGCGGGCTATGGTCGATGCTTACAACAACGCTCAACATTGGTCCATTCGCCGGCAAATTCTTGCTATCATTGTAGCAGATTTTCCTGTTTCCGTGATCAGACAATATTTTCCAAATATCTCGGACTAGAAAATCAAATCGGCCCAGCATCATGCTTACTGCAAAGGTAAGTGAGAAGGTCTTTCGATTGTTACTGTATATATAAACTGTTATAATTAGGTCGTGGTGCTGTGGTGGACAAATCATGAGGATCAACGGTACGATATACGGAAGAACAGGTACAGCATTTCATAGACTTCATTCTTTTGCCATATATCACCACGGATCTTCCGTTTGGAGAGAAAAAAATGAAGCTATCGATAGGTGAGATTGTGCCTGCTCCGAACACTATTCGAAATATGATTCCTCAACGAATTATCAATCAATATTCGTCGTATTGTGCAGAGATAAATTTCAAGTCACTTACAATGGAGGTATGTGTATTGATGAGCGAAAAAGTTGCACATGTTCG